GACGTAGTGATTACATATCTCACAGTATTAATGACACTGAGAAAAAAAAACATAAAATACTTTGTAGATTATTCCATAATACAGCCATTTCTACCTAGAGAGCACTTTATGTTCACATCATCAAACCAATTCCTCTTTATTTAAATAAATTCTCAAATTCCAGATCTGAGGAATTATACTGCACTGATAGTAACACGGATACAAGGGCAAAATTTGACTTAACAAAATTTAAGCTGATAGTTTTCAGTAAAAAAACTAAAGAATGTTCCTAAAAATCTGGTTCTATTGATAGAATGAGAACTCAGTGCTGCTTTGCAAATCTTTCATCATCAGGAAAAGCTTGATTCTTTTAGGGAACCAAATCACTTTATAAAGAGACTACCCCCCAGGTCAATTTCACAGAGAAACAATTGATGGAGATTCTTCCTTTCAGTAAGGAAAGCTTATTGTGTTAAGACTTTGTTTTTGCAAATATATGAAGACAGCTTCAGCTAAAACATAGTGGAAAAATCTATATTCTATTTTTTCAATTAAAAACAAATAAGAAATTATTTTCATGCCGTAAGTATAGAATTTGTGTTGAATAAGTCAGATAGTTTAATAAGAAAAAAATATTTGACCACAATCATCACTGAATTAAAATTTTTATAAATTTAAATATAAGCAATTTCTCACATAAGTTTCTTTGAGCAATAATAATGATCTGTTCTTGACAACAAATACCTACATTTTTTAATGTAAGGAGACTCTATTGGCAGAGTAACTATTCATGCTAACAATGTCATTTTTTTCCCTGACTCTCCATTTTAGTTTTGTAATAGGACTCATTCTGTGAATAGCTGGAGGTTAGCTGTCACTGGGAACTGGTACAATAGGCTTCCTAGTCTCTGTCTTAAATATTGAAACAACTTTTTCCGCAGAAGCTCCAGGAAGCCTCTCTTTGAATCTCACTGACCCGATCTACCTTGAAGCTGCTATTTGCGATATAATCATGGTCAAAGGCAACCAAGTACTATGAGCTGCTACACTGGCCAACTGAGAGGGTACTGATGTTGGGAAATCAACTAATATGTCACTACAACTAGAATTCCAGGAGCGCTACACGGACTTTGTCCAAACATCTGCCAGTCAATACAGAAGCTCAGATGGTTAGGTGGTTTCCACCTGCCTGGGTTTCTCCTACGTGAAAAATTAAATAAGTCTTAAAAGTTTTTTTTTTAGCCTTACAAGTGGGGATGGTGTTGGAAAGATAAACTAAATGATGTGAAAATGCAATGTATCAAGGATTCAGTTATTAAAATTTACAGTAACTTAGCTGTGATTATTTACTAATTGAAGATCTGCCTATATTTGTAAAAAAATATGATTTTAATTATAAATTCAAAATTAAGACAGCATGAGATTAATTCTGTAATAAACATCAAAGGTGTTAGATGATCTATGTGCTTTATCTTTTTCAGATATTTAAAATGGGGAAATTATCATGTATTTGGATAACAATTTCTGGCTCATCTCATGGTATTTGATATAGGGCAAAGTACATAAATCGAAATATACAATAAGAAGAGGCTAAAAAAATCATTGATTTATTTACCATATGATATTTTGAGTCAATAAAAATAGCACATCTTTCTTATGCTGCTTTGTCACCTCATGTTAGCACTGTATAATATATAGTTTAAGTGTTTAATAAATGTTCGTGAAATTATGTGGAAAAAAGATAGTTTCATTTGTATACATAAGAACATATTACAAATGAACACATACAACATGATCTACACTTACATGAAATTATATCAGATATCTGGAAGGTTTTTTCATCGAACACTGGTGAGATCCCAGATGAATTTTTATCTATTTTCTTTTTCTATAAATTGAATTTTTTTACCATGAAAATATTTATTTTTCATGATGACAAGGCTATTGATATTTAGAAATAGGCTATGGGATTTAATAATAGAATGATATTCACAAACTATTGTAAAGTGACAAAGCACTATTATTTACAGTATGATTGTATTCTTATATTTAAAATCATATATCTATATGGAGAGAAAAAAGACTAGAAGGATACAAACCAAAATGTTAATAATAGTAATACCCGGTAGGATTATAGGTGGTTTTAATTTTCTTTTTTAAAGACTAACAGAAAATTGAACTGTATTTTAAGTACAAATTTTTAAAAGATTAAAGAAACTAGAGATGAAAAGTATAGAAATTGAACAAATATAATTTAAGAAACTCATTATAAAGCACTTGTATTCATCAGGTCAAATCATGTCCCAAGCTTATCTAGTGAATAGAGTCTCATTAGCACATAAAAGACCTGAAAAATTAATGCTAAACAGAGTTTTGCAGTCTTCCTCTGTGCAAAAGCAAAATTGGAGAAGACATACAATGTGGATTAAGGACAGAAATAGGTGTCAGTGATTCAGGCTCACATCTTTTCTGGTGCTAGTAATTACCCTCCTCTGAACAAATCATAATTTTTTATTATCCTGGTTTATTGATTTGGAAAAAGAGCAGTGAAAATACTGACTTCTTCATAGGGCTGCTATAAAAAGTCACAGATATTAAGTATTTCAAAAACACTCAGCCAAAGCAACTCACTTTAATGTGAGTGCCTTAATATTAAGTGGCAAAGTATTTCAGTATCTCTACACCCCATATTAACAAAGGGGTTAAACCACTTGTTCAGTTTTACATTTTATCTCCTGGCCCCTTATGAATATGGTGCTATTTAGTTTATATTATTTGTTGATTTTGTCCATTCGGCATCTATTTCACCACTTTTCCTGTTTTTCTTTCTTTACTTGCCTTGGGCATATCATCATTTTTCTAAGCTTCAGTATCCCCATTTGTAAAAACAAAAACAAAAACAAAAAAAAACTATATTAACTGCAATATGAATTAACAAGCATGCAGGTCAAGGTTTCTTAGAATGGTCTCTGTGAAATTGCCCAGGGAAGTTCTCCGCCTTTCCTTGACCAAGAGATCAGCAATGGCCCAGTCAGGCTAATCAGATCCACATCCCCAAGGTGTGGAATGAAGAGAAGGCCTAGGGGTTTGGGATAGATATGCCAACAGCAGGGTAAATTTGTCACTGTTGAAGGTCAGGCTTTTCAAGGATTCCTTCAGTTCTCTCAATTTAGCCCATAACCTTCTGATGAAGGCTATGTATCTTACAGCCCTCAATTCAATCACAATTAGTTTATATAATTTAGGACCAAAGAAATATAGTTTCTCTAAGATGCCTAACATTACCCTAGGAGTCTCCAATAAGGATTAAGTGTTATGACATAGGTCAAGGTGTAAGAGTTGATTCCAAATAGAACAGTGAAGAAAATCTATGCTCTGGCAGGGCCAGGGGTAAAGGAGGTGGTCTGAGGATAACACCCGGCCATCCTGGATTCTGTGTCCACTGAGAAAGGAGTTAGAATTGGACACCACAGGTCTCCCTTGATTCTACTGTTTATTTACCTATGTGCCCTCCTCTCCCCTGTCAGCAGCCTCATGCCACCCCTATCTGCGCATGGCATGAACTTTCCCTCTAGGAGATTTAAAAAATAAAAACAACACAGGAGTCAATGAAGTGAAAGTTCTCAGTCAAGTTTGAGGAGAACAAGCTAATAAATGAAGAAGTCAGAACTGGCAACAATAAAAAAAGATGTTAAGTTCAGTGTTTGGGGCTTTGGGGTTGTGAAAATTACAGGAGCTGGCCTGCAACATTCTCTCTCTTCTTTGGGTTTTGTTTGCCTTAAGCTAATCAACATTCTAACTGGTAGAGGGAGAAGCCTAAACTCAAAGGTGGATTTTATTTTTCCTTCCAACCAATCTCAAAGGTCTAATAGTGATTACCATATATGGAGGTAAAAGAGCAGAGAGAGATCTTGAATGTGTTAATTTTGACTTGAGAAAAACTGAAGAGGAGCCAGAAAGAATATATTATATATGTGATTCTCATTAAGCTGTCTTTACTTGGAAGGATAGTTTCCAGGCAAATAAACACTCAGATCTCACTCATGCAGCTCCCTCCAAATAACGCATCCAACTCGAGTCCCCCATTCTCATGCATTCTGTTGACTTTAAAGTGAATTATGGGCAAAAAAAGAAAATGAGAATCAGGTAGGGCAATCCTAGCTCTGAAAAAGGAAAACATGTGAATGCTGATTAGATTATGCAGAAAAAAGAAAACCGTTCTTTAATATTTTTAACTATTCAGAAAGGGGTCTAAGTTTACATTATTTTCAAAATAAAGCAGAAATGGAAAATAAACTTTCACATCCTTCCACACGACTCCCAAAGTTGAGGGTGTGACTTATTAATAATATTTACTTTTTAAATTCAATTTACATTTTCTAGACACTGTGCACCAGCTGGTCAACTCAACACACGATTGAAGAGCTGCCCCAAACAAACTCAGCCTCCAAATTTTGTACCTTTGATTTAAGTTAATGTGATATTATAAGTAGCAACCATGGAATAGCTCCTATACCAAGAGCACAGAGAAAAGGATGAATCAGGAACAACATGAAGGAAAATCTTCCCACAATGATAATCCGTGTTAATGTCGGCCCGTCAGCAGTTTAATTTGCACTGCTTAGAGAACTAACAGAGCAGGCTGTGCTCCCACGTGCCTCGTGTCCCACAGAGGTCCCCTATCTCCAAGGTTAGGGAACTATGTCTAATAATACTCCCTATTAATTGCATAGCTTTCTCCAGCCTACTTCCCAGGTGTGCACACTTCTCATCAGTATCATGTTCCTGAAACAACTTGGCTCATGTTTCTCTTCATGGTGATGAGAGGGCTCCTTGAATGTGGCCTGGGCAAACCCAGGGAGAGCAGCTGTCTATGCCTGGGGCACTGCTGATGTCTCAGAGTTTGACAAGGATGAAAGGCACAGTTCTGGCTGAGACTTACCTTCAGAGAATGAGACGACATAAAGGCCATACATGTGGAGTGTCTTCAAAGGAATAGAGACTTTCCACAAAAAGGATATTGGGCCACCAGGGCTGGGCAAAGCTGGGTATTTGGCATAAAAACACAGTGCATCATAACAAAGTCATTTAAAATGGAATCTGTGGGGGTGGAGAGCAGACATGATATTAAGTTCTTGTAGAAATACTCAGGAAGGCAAGAATATCTATTCATTTGTTGTTGGTCAATGGTTCTTACTATATATATATATATATATTCATATAAAACTCATACTATTGACAGGCCTTGAAACCAAAACTCAATTTCTTAGGACAATGGATAAAAAGCATAGCATTTTTAAAAAAGACAGGTGTGTACAAATACAAATGCACTGGTCTTTGAAAATGCATGTAATTAAAGGGCCACATATAGACAGTATCCTGTACACAGAATAAAGATATACTGTTTCTTTGTCTAATTTATAGCCTATGTCTTTTGTCAATTTATGTTTTCTTTTGTCTCTTTCCCACCTATATTTCCTTTAAAAAAAAAGATTTATTTATTTATGCATACAAGAACTGAGGTACAGGCCAGAGGTGGGGGTGGGGAATGAGAATATTCACCAGAGACACAGTAGGGAACAGAAAAGTAGATTTACTAAAATACACTGCTGAGGGGAGCAGTGGGTGGGATAGGAGAGGTTTGCTGCACTATGTGGGTCACCTCTCTGGCTGGGGATCGAACTTGTGCCACAGTGGCTGTGGATAGCTTCACAGAACTGAGAATTAACCCCTGTGCCACCAGGGAGTCCACATCTCTATTTCTAGAGGGAACAATGAAGTATGAGAGGGTGATGGAATTATGGAAACAGGAGGTGGTAAGAGCAGAGAATTGGTGAGGGAAACAAAGTAGGGGGAGGGGAAGTTAGGGACAAATAGGACAAGATAAAGTCTGCCTGCAGCCACTGAATCATCAGAACAAAAGCTCTCCAGTAGCTGAAATGTACATGCCTTTTATTCAAACTTTTGTAGGTAGGTAAGAAGGTAGATTGCAAGGGAAACTAGGTGAGTCCCAAAGATAAGCTTTGTTTCTACCTTTTTGAATTTCATGCTGGTTCTTCATCACTGATACAACACTATCTGGTCAGACTTGGTGGGAAAATACAGGAAGGGAGGCCTAAAAGCCTTAGGATAATTCCTGTTGGACTTGGTGTGCAAGACACCAGCGGGGTTTCCAATTAAGCTGTATATCCTGAGATTCATGAAGCTCATGATAACTTTTCATATAAAATGGTGAGAAATATAAAAGAGGTCATCTACCACCTCCATCATGCCATATGGGATCATGATGCTCATTTACATACAGGTGGTGGACACAGTCCCAAACTGTCATCCTGTTACCCCTTGGTGCTCCAGGTCACTCAGTCCCATTAGACTGAGCAGGATAAGAAGCAGAAAATCTGTGTGTCTTTTCCCCCTTAAATACAAAGGTCTAAGGCTTGCCTGAGTTTAAGATCTAGGGTCACCTTTCTATGTTTCAGACACTCTGAGAACAGAGTAGGTAATCCTTCCATCTAAAGCTGCCAGACACCTGTACTATGCAGTAAATTTTGCTTCAGCAAAGATATGAATTGGGTTCAGCAAGGTTGGGGAGCCAGTCACTCAGACACTCAGCCACCCACCTTTCAAGCACACACATAGACACCCTGTACCCACATTTTAATGTGGTTTTCTTGTTCTCTACCCATATATATTAACACTTGAGGACAGATTTTTTTTTAAAGGTTTGTTAAAGAAAGAAGTTCGGAATAAAATGTGCATGACCCAATTGTTCATATCACAGTCAAAGATGCTGTGGATGTCGGGTTGGTTTCTCTAGTGAACACGTTTCCATTTACACTCTTTCTAAGGTTGCTAACAGGATGCTCCTATTCCTCATATTAACACCATCCCAACATTGTTCTGTGACCCCACTAGCTGTCACCCCCACACGTTCATCCACCCCAAGATTCAGAAAGGGGTCAGATCCGCAGTACCCTTGGATATATCTACACCATTTAATTTCATTGATAACTTCTTGCCCACTTGTTTTTCAACTCAGGAGGGGGTGCTTTGCTCCTGGCCTCTCCTCTGGGA